TATTTCTAAGCTGAATAGATTCCTCGACTCAAATTACATGTAACTGCATTATTTTCTCAAAAATGACAAAAAAAAAATTCACTGATTTTCTCAGATGATGTCCCTTTTATCTCCTTCTAATTGATCAACATTTGATTTTCCTTCTTTTCTCTATAGAATTTTACTAAACTCATGTTTTTCTGATTTGAATTTCTTTTTCGTTCAACAGGATTTCACAAAGAGCATTTTACATTCTCTTTAGTGATCTTAATTTCCTCCTTGGTAAATTTTCCAATGATGGCTTGTTGAATTTTATATCAGACTATCCCTTCAGCATTGAAAATCTTGTAATTTTTAAGCCGAGCCAAGTTTCTTGTTGTAGTAGTATCAGATGGGAATTTCCTTGTTAAGCAGTATCTGTGCAGAATGACATTTTTGGACTTCAACTCAACGGATTTATCCTTTAATGCTTTCCCAAGAAGTAATGACAGTCAAGAATTTCATATTTTGTGTGGGCAACTTCGTGTGTTTTTTCTTTCAGATCCCGCCCGACCTTCGCTCCCTTAAAAATGCCAACTGGGTAAATGTTATTGTTTTGGAACATCGGGATCACCATGATACTACAATGACATAAATAAAATTTCTCTTCCACATGGCATGCGCATTATACAAATATACAAATATTGCTATTGAGATATCTTTTGGTTAATACTGATTGATGGTTTTGCATTTATGGCAGAGTTCGAATTGACTTTCGAGCTACACTCATCGATTAATTGCAAGCCTTTATATTCAATGTTTGTCAATTAAGTTACTTTACAAATTTATTTAACAATTATTGCTTTTGCCTCTTTTTTGTAACTGGAAAGCTTTGGTGAATCCGTAGGCACACTTTATGGTATGATTTAAAATAATAAATGTGACCATTTTAGAAAGCAGCAATGGCTTTTCTAAAGTTCCTTCTTTATTTACTTTTACTTTCTTTGCCGCTTAAACTGCTTACAGTATTTAATTTACAAGAATTACTTTAACAATATGTGATAACGAATTTGGTTAATAAATGCCATCACTTTGTATTTGGTTAATTGATAACAACCATTAATATTTTGCCGAACAACCTTAATACCTCACGTTTACACTCAAACTAACAAGAACGTAAGCAAAAACGTTTACACTTTACGAAAACTTAAACCAAAAAAAACCTTTGCTTCTTTACTAAGCAAAAACCTTATTACCCGTTGTTAACATTACACTGACTAAACAACGTTAATACCAAACTTCAGGAATGATCTGTAATATTCCTACTTTTAGCATTAAAAATACTAAGCGAAAAATCTGGTGAATATGTCTTCTAAGCAAAACATATACCTCTCTGCTTCGTTCCTCTTAAATATGTGATTTTATGCTGTTCAGAAGGGGGCTATCGTATTCATTTCGTACCCTGGAACTCAAACTATCTAGGTTCTTTGCAATTATGGGTTCAGACCTCCCGTACGTGAAATGAAGTTCAGTGTCTTAAGTGAGAATTTTTATTAATAAAAAGATAATTTTTTTAAAGTTTGAAGAAATTATGATACAATAAAATCAAGATTCAATAGTACCATTTTGTTTAACAAACATCTCGAATTTCGTTATGTAAAAAATATTCTTTTCAAAATAAGCCTTTTATCGAAAAGTCAATTTTTATCACATCAATTATAGTAACTCAAAGACATTTTATATTCATATTATTTAGGGTAATTTCTATTATTTATTTAATTATTAGACAATTTTTCTTTGTTCATGACTATCCAAACATTTCAATATCTGAATCATGTTACGAGTCAGATGGAAATTCTTATTATTCATATTATAATATTATTTCTTTAGGAACTTATTAACCAATCCAAAAAAATAAATACACCTGATAATTATATAATTAGAAGTATGGAGTAGTACAAAAAACTTCCTCGGCAGCTATCAATTCATTTCTACAGGTATTTTGTTATATAACACCCAAAAATTATGCGAACATGTTAATATAGGGTGGAAAATGAAAGTAAAAGAATGACTTCCAAAACTGCTTGTACTTATAAAAAGGGGTTATATAATAATGGCCATGAAAGACCAGAATGTTATGAAATATAAAAATAAGTTTAAAATTTATGGAAGAGGAATATGAACCTTATGCTCCAATATTTGAAGGAATGATAGAATTAATCCTACCATAGAAGATAACAAAAAAATGAGAATTTTAGTAACACATGATGAATCTGTTTTTTACTCAAATGAAAGTAATAATCAAGGTTGGATTGCCAGTGGGTGAATAACCTTTAAAAAAAAGTAAAGGCAGAACATATCATGTCAATGATTTTTTGAGAGAAACAATAGGTCCTTTACATCTCAATGAAGAAAAGCAAAATCAATATTCCCTTTTACCTAAACAAAGCTTGTGACGGGATCAAATAATGATGGGCAGTGGACAACAGAGAAATTAAAAAGTCAAGTAATTGATAAAGCAATACTGATATTTGAAGCCACTCATCCAGGTTGCATAGCTCTGTTCGCATTTGATAATGCAACTTCACATGCAGATTTTGTTAATGATGTTTTAGTTGCATCTAAAATGAATTACAATGATGGTGAAAGTCAACCAAAGATGAGAGATGCTGTATTCAATGATGCTGAATAAAAAGTGATTTATCCTGATGGAAAGCAGAAAGAGATGAAAACAATATTGACAGAAAGGGGAATATTTAAGAAAGGTTGAAAAAAGGATGTCTCAACTGTAAAATTGAAAATCAAGGTAACAGAATACAAAAACAGATTGTTGTGGATTGAAGATTCCGGAGTTACAGCCAGATTCAAGGCACAAAAAAGGATCAAAAAGAAATTGAAAAAGGAAGACATATGACGACTTGCTATCCTAAATTCCGTTGTGAATTGAACTTTATTGAAATATGTTGGGGAGCAGCAAAAAGATTCACAAAGAATGGATTATTAATTATAGTATCTATTCCTCTTTCACCATTAGAAAATTTGTGCACATATCCTTCATATAGACAAGGATTATCTATGAATACTGTAGAATACTCTGTAAAGAAATACTGTCCTCATAGAAGAATTCTTACTAGTGTATTTTACATGACCTTGGATCAATTATAAATAAATTTATTTATTTTTATTAATTTTTTTTTTTTTTATCTCTTGATATTTTTAATTTATTTATTTTCTAAAATAAAATTTTCAATTCTTCCAATTTGTTCATTTTTAACATATGTATAATCACAAAATAGTCTATTATATTAATAATTAAATCGTTTGCTCATTTCTTGATCAATGCAAGACAGTTGATTATAGCTGTGTTGATTGATGGTACCATTTTTTATCTATATATATAGTTAAATTAAAATGAGAAATTTTGACATTAGCAATAGAAATAAAATGTACATATATATACTTCCATAAAATATACTTTTGGTGCTAGGTGGGAGATAGCAGTATATTTTGCACATTCTTTGATCAATGCAATAATCTATTTATTAAATTAAAATAAATGAACTTAGCTGTTCTTTGTATTTTTTTTAATAATAATGATAATTAATTATCCTCCCGTTCATCTGGAAAATTCACGTGACAAAAGATCTGCAATATAAGATAAATTTTTCAAATTTTTATTTTGTTTCAATTCGTCTATTTTTGATATTAGTATTAGCTTTTTTGTGTGTAACTGGCCATTTTAAGGCCAAGAATAGCAAATTCGGTAAACTTTGTGCAACTTTAAAGCTCAAATCCTCCACAAAAACATGACATATCAATGTAGTGTTTGAATCCGAATCTCAAATGAGACTCATTAAGGAGGTTACACAATATCAAAGTAGCTTAAAATCATGTGTTGAGTCTCATTTGAGATTCGGATTCAAACACTAGCTCAGTTGACCCAAATATTTAATAGCATTAGTAATTAGCAATTAGCAAGCTAGTAATACAGAAAATAGGATTAATATGCATATTTTATTGGACAAAATATTGTAAAGGTCATGTTATTTGTAACATCTCAAGAGGTATAAAAAGGCTTGGTTTTAGACCAAGTGAGAATTAATTCATGTTAATAATATTCACAATTATCTATAACAATTGAATAAATATCCCCCCCATTGTTGATAATTAAATAAACACATTTTACCTTATTATGTGAGACTTAATGAATGGTTCAGTTCAATATACAAAGTATGTAAGACTATGATTGTAATTTTAAATACTTGATCTATTCATTTAATTTATCATATACTTTTTTTCTTAGCATGATGTAAATTCTACATTAGAAAAACTAAAAGGCCAGACATCAATTATAATGAACAAGAAACTGAAGTTATCAATAAGGTTTGTATTCACAGATACCATAAGGAGGTCACACAGGGTTACACACTATTAAAATCAAGTGTTTTTAAGGGATTTTTTGCTGATTTATTAGTGTGTAACCCCCTTAATGGTATTCATGGTATCCGTGAATACAAAACCTAGTTATCAAAGACATGGTTAGAATCAAGCTCTTACAACTAAGAGCAGAATTTGGTCAAATAAGCAAGAAAATTGATGAGAACACTTATACTTTTACATTAACATCAGTTGATTTTGAGTTTCTTAGATTACATTTTCCTCATCTAGTTGGTAAGAAACATAATAAAATTTATTATGATTGCTATTAAAATCTTACTGGTTTTATTTGAACAGGAATGAAAATGATGTTCCTTCATCAAAGTGGTGCCAAGAAAAAATTTATAACAATGTTCAAGCCATGGCCCGAAAAGCAGATGGAATATTATTTAACTATAATTGTAGACACATCAGGAAATTAATTTAGTGAAAACTTGCATAAATCTTACAACACTGACATAATATCATGTAAATCTTACAGTGCCAACATAAGTTTTACACTTATTTATTATTAAACTTATGATTGACACATGCAAATTTTTTTTATATTTTCCAAATGCATCAAGAATTGCTCATTTTTGAAAATCTTGGTCCTCCAAATCAAATTAAAAACACAAAATATCTTAGTGACAAAATAAAATGTTTCTCAAAGGGAATGGGAGTGTTGAATATGCATCAAAATATTATGTGATGGCTTATATAGTACTGTATATAGTAAGTTTTAATTATGTTTTCTCATTTGTTATAATATGGCAAAATGTTTAGTTAATAATCTAGGGTCTCTATTTAGAAACAAAGGGAGAGCTGTTCCAAACAGGGCTGGCAGAATAACTGGTCCATTGAGAGCTTATGGTCTTTGGACTGGTCCATTGCATTAATAAATTACTAAATATGGCTATAATGGAACCAATGGATCACCAATAGACCACCAATGGACCATACATTTGCCAACCCTGGTTCCAAATAAATTTGGCAGCCCCAAAAGCATTTGTAGCAGAGAAAATATTAGATGTGGATTATAAAAATTATAAAACTAATTTTAATAGTCAAGGTAAATAAATTTTTTAATTCATGCAGTTTTTGTTTTTATACAATACTCATCTTTTTTTTATTTTCCAGAAATTAATTGAATCAAACAATGACATACTACATAAATACAACAAGTCTTGTATTGATAACAATGAACATACTAAGATTCAGGATTGGTTATCTTGTATGAGTACATAAATTTTAATATTAATTTTAAATAATCCTTGGAGACTAATAATTGTAAAAATTTCAGCTTTTTATTCTTTGGAAAAACAAAATTTCACTATTTAATCTTTGCTTGAATTTATTGTAACATTGTCATGAGAATTGTATTTATGTAAAAATTATTGACACTCACAGAAAAAGTGTTAAAATGTTTGGTAAAAGCATAAGAACATTAATGCTGATTAAAGAATTAATTATAATTAAAGCTTAAACTTTGAATGTGTTAATTATGCTGACTACTTAATGTTTTTAATATTAATCAATAGTATATCCGATATAAAATATCAATATCATGAATGTTAAAAAATTTTGAACCCTGAAATTTCTTGGTAATACAAATATTCACTTTGTCTGGTTTTGTTACAGCATGCCCCATTTGATAAACTTTCAAACGAATCTAAATTTATTTAATCATGTTATGTAATTGTTGAAGTATGCAATTTTTTGTCACTGCTGTTTTTTTTCTTAACACACTGTATATAAGAAAATAAATTTGAATTTTCTTACATCTTGAAATTAAACCATTATTGACTGACAATTTGTTGTACTGTCATCTAATATGTTTGATCTATATGCTTTTCTCATCTTTCAACTAATAACTGAACATTTAAAAGGTGCTAGCAGATGGTATTGATGTTCTATTCACTGAAGTTCAAAAGAAAAAACGAAAAAATTATTTTAAAAAACCAATAAATGAACTCCTATTACATAAATTTAGGCGATAGCATACTTTCTACAAATTAATAGATTGTTGTGGATTTTGAATGGATTATGAGAAAACAAGCTGGTAGTATTTATTTCAATTATTATAATTAGAATTTTTTAAAAATTTTTATAAGGAAGAAAAGTATCACGTTAACTCATTTGTAATGTATATGAATTGATCTAATTTTTCCAGAATCGATCTCCAAATTTGGATAAAATCCAGACTGTGATATACTGTGTAACAGAACTCTACACTTAATATGGAAAGAGGTACGATTATATTAATATATACTGTAATAAAAATGATTTTCCTGTATAAAAAGTAGCAATTTTATATAGCAAAAATGCCTGTAAGTTTTTAAATAAAAATTTTTAACTAATGTTTGGATCAATAAATAAACCTAATTAAATTTTTTAAGGCCTATCACTCCCAATTCAACGATGTAACAGAAGTAGAAACAATTGGTGGAATGGCATTATTGCCGATTAAATCGGATAAAAGATATATTAGAGCACCATGTAAGTAATTTTTATGATGGAAAATTATAGCTATATTATTTTCTCCTCATTAAATTCATTTATTCATGCACACACACATATACATAGCTATCGAGTATGATATAGTTGATGAAGCGTTAGATCTTTTCAGAGCCAATTGTTTTTTTCGTAATTTTGAGGTTAAAGGAAATGCGGATCGAGTATTAATCTATTTAATATTAGTGATTTCTGATTACTTAAGTCAGCTACTAATAAAAAATCCAACACAAAAAGAGGCAGTAAAATTTTTAAATAATCGAGCAGTAGATAATGAATTGGAAACTATTCCTGGCGAAGTAACATTTCCATTAAGAGTTTATTGTTCTTCACCAGCTAACAGAAATGAAATGGGTAATTTTTTGTTATTAATAAGTTTATTTATTTTTTTTTTTTTAATTGAAAGAAAAAAACGATATTCTAAAATCTTTAAATCTATATTTTTACATGTATTATT